AATCTCAGCCCTACATACTTGCGAAAAAAGAGCTGTGGCCACAGAAAGAGGTTGCAGTCACGCGGAGGTTAACTGCATATACAAGGGGGTGGGAGGGGCAAAAAAGTCACTCTGCCCATGGCGCACATCATCAAACTTTTCGTCGCACAGGGTGCCGATGTTGATGAAAGTTTTACGGCAGAAAATATTAGTGCCCTCCGTAAGCAGAAGCAGGCCCTCCTTCACTGCCCTCACCGTCTTCAGAATATGACGTCATCTGCCATCACCGTCGAGCTCAACGAGGCTTACCGTAATCGCTCCAGCCTGAAGCTGCTACATAATTTCTTCAATCGATTAACTGTTGAATAGCTTCCAGAGACATTAGCTGTGACTATGCAAAGACCGCTTTTGACCAGCGTTTCAGAGACGTCGTAATGGTCTATGGTACCTCGACGTTGAGCTCGTACCGTGAACCATGTTTCCGTGGGAAAATCTTCTGATGTCGTCAGTGTAGAAGGGTATCATGAGGTTTCTGATTCATTGGAATGTGCTCTCCAATATGCAGTGGAATGGAATTAGGCTTGAATCAAACAAAGTGTGAATATTCAGCTTCAAATGTGCGGAGAGAGTGACTTTTATCGCCCCCACCCTTGTGGTTTAGCCTTTCAACTGGTACTCCAAACACGATTAGTCCGAATCTTGGTATTAACGTTAGCCTAAGCTTATACCGTAATCTCAGGAAGGTGCGGCACTTCATCTACTTATTAACTGGGTGATGGTTCATTTTGTCTCGAAGGACTTGTATTGTTGTAGACATTTCATTAATCGGCTGATTCATCAGCCGGTTTTCGTTCTTCCAAGCTCTGGCAAAGCGAACCCGTCGAGACGAGAGCTGATCAATGCTATCATAAACCTGCATAATTCATTTACTGCTTCTCAGAGTCGGATATTTGCGGTGAGAGTGAGGGAACTCCCATGAAGAACTGGATGTTCACTGTATATCTGCCTTCATTGGGAATCCATTATCTTTTTTTTTACAAAAAAAAACTCAATACCCCGAGTTTCACTTCAAGTGTTTAGTTACATTTCGAAAAACTTAAAGGCACGCTCCGGATTTATGCGAGCGCCGAAATTTTGTGTGCGTATCGATTTCTGGCCTAGGGTCAACAAGGGGCACTAGGGCAACTCAGCTATCCGTTCGTGAAAACTCGTTCGAACCAGGGTCAACCGTTACGTTGGACCGATATTGGAGCGACGTTGGACCGACGTTTGACCGCTCTCCGCGCCGGCATTCACTCTCGCCACCCGCGAGCCGTCTGTGTCTCCGTGCGTACGTTCACTCTCGGCATTACTCTCGGTCGTAGAAAGCGGTTGCGCTGGACTTTGTCCAAACGGACGGT